GTTTGGGGTGGTTTGATCGTTGTTTCCCAAAGTTTTGGGGTGGTTTGAGCATCACCTGTCAAAGTTTGGGGTTGTTGAAAAGTCACTTGTCAAAGTTTTGGGTGGTTTGAGCATCGTCTGTCAAAGTTTGGAGGAATTAAAAAATCTGCTGTCAAAGTTTCGCACAGTTTTGGGGTGGTTTGAGCATCGTCTGTCAAAGTTTGGGGTCGTTGAAAAGTCACTTGACAAAGTTTGGGGTGGTTTGATCGATGTTTCCCAAAGTTTTGGGGTGGTTTGAGCATCACCGGTCAAAGTTTGGGGTTGTTTAAAAATCCCTTGTGGAAGTTTGGGATGGTTTGGTCATTGTTTCCCGGAGTTTTGGGGTGGTTTGAGCATCATTTCCCAAAGTTTGGGGACGTTGAAAAGTCACTTGTGGAAGTTTGGGGTGGTTTGATTGTTGCTTCCCAAAGTTTGGGGTGGTTTAATCGTTGTTTCCCAAAGTTTGGGGTGGTTTGAGCATCGTCTGTCAAAGTTTGGGGGGGTTAAAAAACTCTCTGTGGAAGTTTAGGGTGGTTTGATCACTGTTTCCCCAAATTTTGGGGTGGTTTAAGTATAATTTGTCAAAGTTTTGGGGTGGTTTGAGTGTTGTCTGTCAAAGTTTGGGGTGGTTTGAGCATCGTTTGTCCACATTTGGGGTTGTTTAAAAATCCTTTGGGGAAGTTTGGGGTGGTTTGGTCGTTGTTTCCCAAAGTTTTGGGGTGGTTTGAGCATCGTCTGTCAAAGTTTGGGGGGTTAAAAAATCCTTTGGGGAAGTTTGGGGCGGTCTGATCCTTGTTTCCCAAAGTTTGGGGTGGTTTGGTTGCTGTTTCCCAAAATTTAGGATGGTTTGGTCGCTGTTTCCCAAACTTTTGGGGTGGTTTTGCCGCTGTTTCCCAAAGTTTTGGGGTATTTGATTGTTGTTTCCAAAAGTTTGGGGCTGTTTGGTCGTTGTTTCCCAAACTTTTGGAGTGTCTAAGCGTTTCCCAAACTTTTGGGGCTGTTTGGTCCTTGTTTCCCAAACTTTTGGAGTGTCTGAGTGTTGTTTCCCAAACTTTTGGGTTGGTTTGGTTGTTGTTTCCCAAACTTTTGGAGTGTCTGAGTGTTGTTTCCCAAAGTTTGGGGCTGTTTGGTCATTATTTCCCAAACTTTTGGTGCTGTTTGATTGTTGTTTCCCAAAGTTTGGGGCTGTTTGGTCCTTGTTTCCCAAACTTTTGGGTTGGTTTGGTTGTTGTTTCCCAAACTTTTGGAGTGTCTGAGTGTTGTTTCCCAAAGTTTTAGGGTGGTTTGTTCATTGTTTCCCAAACTTTTGGTGCTGTTTGGTCCTTGTTTCCCAAACTTTTGGGGTGTTTTGGTCGTTGTTTCCCAAACTTTTGGGGCGGTTGTTTCCCCTCACTCCCGTCCCTGCCATTCCCTGAAGTTCCAGTTTTCCCTTCTCCCAGTTTTCCTGGTTTAGGTCCGGCTTAAGCGCTTTATTTAAGCTCAGCTTAAACTTTTTGTGGCTGAAATTTAGGCAGGAAAAAACCCTGGAATTGCTCCAGGAACCGGGAATGTTGAGGGGGGGGGCGGGTCTCCCTCGGCCATTCCTGGAAATGTTTGGATTCCTCAGGAACAGCGACTGTAAATAAATCCCTGGATGAGGGTCGGGAATCTTCCCGTGGGGCCTCATTCCCACCCCGGCAGGGGCCGGAATTCTGCCCCCAAAAGTGGGAAAATCCCATTTTTCCTGGTTATTTTATCCCCCAGAGTCAGCTCCGTGATCCCAAATCCCGGAATCCTGGGCTGTTGGAAGGGAAAATAGGGATTGACCAGAGGCTGGAGAATCAGGATCGATCCCACCTGGATCGTTCCCATCCCGGAATTCCCGTTCCTTGGGATGAGGTTGGTCCCTGCTGGAGCCTCCCAAGACCCGGGAAAGGATTTGGGAATCGCTTTTCCAAAGGCAGCTTCCCAGGCTGGGGATTCCAGGGAATGTCACCCTTGGGAATGTCAAACCCGGGTTTTCAGGGAGAGGTTTTCCCTTCATTCCCGGCAAATCCTGGGAATCGGAGTCGCTGAGAACGGGAGGAATCCTGGGAATTGCAGCCCCTGATCCCGTTAAACGGCAGCATTCCCAATGAATGGCAGCATTCCCAGGCTGGGGATTCCACT